TATGGGGCCACGGAACGTGTGAGGGGTGCGCCGAAATGTGTGTGCGGGACGCATGCGGGCACCCACTGGGCCTTCGGTGGACCCCTATGGGGCCACGAAGCGTGTGAGGGGTGGGCCGAAATGGGCGTGCGGGACGCATGCGGGCACACCCACTGGTGGAGCTCTTCGGGTGTGCGGGACGCTCCTTCGGTGGAGCTCCCTATGGGGCCACGAAACGTGTGAGGGGTGTGCCGAAATGGGTGTGCGGGACGCATGCGGGCACACCCACTGGGACCTTCGGTGGAGCTCCCTATGGGGCCACGAAACGTGTGAAGGGTGTGCCGAAATGGGTGTGCGGGACGCATGCGGGCACACCCACTGGGACCTTCGGTGGAGCTCCCTATGGGGCCACGAAACGTGTGAGGGGTGTGCCGACATGGGTGTGCGGGACGCATGCGGACGGCACCCACTGGGACCTTCGGTGGAGCTCCCTATGGGGCCACGAAACGTGTGAGGGGTGTGCCGAAATGGGTGAGCGGGACGCATGCGGGCACACCCACTGGGCCTTCGGTGGAGCTCCCTATGGGGCCACGAAACGTGTGAGGGGTGTGCCGAAATGGGTGTGCGGGACGCATGCGGGCACACCCACTGGGACCTTCGGTGGAGCTCCCTATGGGGCCACGAAACGTGTGAGGGGTTCGCGCCGGAAGGGTGATTGACGATGATGATGGTGGGCGGGAGGAGGAGGAGGAGGAGGAGGACGGAGGAGGAGGAGGAGGAGGGGAGGAGTAGGAGGAGGAGGAGGAGGAGGAGGAGGAGGAGGAGGAGAGGAGAGGGGAGAGGAAGAGGAGAGGAGAGGAGAGGAGAGGAGAGGAGCGGAGGAGGAGAGGAGACGCGGGGACCGTTTCTTCAAAACGAGGACCCAAACACCACAGGATGATTGGGAACAACTTGTGCTCGGCAGCGGCAAACACAGTGATTTTTGCCACGGCGCCCCCCCTGCCCTGGAGAGGCCCCGCGGCGCCGCTGCAAAGAAGCCAGGGTTCGGCAGCGCCAAACTCTGGATTTGCGTCGCGGCCCCCCCCTGCTTTGGAGGGCCCACGCGGCGCCGCGACAAAAAAAAACGAGGCTCGGCAACGCCAAGCCCCGGCATTTTTGTCACGGCCCCCCCTCTGCCTTGGAGGGGCCCCGCGGCACCGTGACAAAAAAAATGGTGCTCGGCAGCGCCAACCCCCAATATGTTTGTCACGGCACCCGCCCCGTTCCTTGGAGGGGCACCGCGGCGCCGTGACAAAAAAAACTAGAGCAGCGCCAACCCCCGAGGTTTTTGCCACGGCACCACCCTGTTCCTTGTAGGGGCCCTGCAGCGCCGCGACAAAAAAGGTTGGGTTCGGCAGCGCCGGACCCCAGGATTTCTGTCACGCCCCCCCCTGCCTTGGAGGGCCCCCGCGGCGCTGTGACAAAAAAATCTGGGCTCGGCAGCGCCAGACCCCAAAGTTTTTGTCACGCCCTCCCCCCCGCGCCTTGGAGGGGCCCCGCGGCGCCGTGACCACAAAACTGGGGCTCGGCAGCGCCAAACCTCAATACTTCTGTCACGGCACCCCCTGTGTCTTGGAGGGGCTCCGCGGTGCCTTGACAAAAGAGCTTGGGTTCGGCAGCGCCAAACCCAAAGGTTTTTGTCACGGACCCCCCCCGTGCCGGCGCCGTGACAAAAAACTGGGGCTCGGCAGCGCCAAACCCGAAGGTTTTTGTCACGGCGCCCGCCCGTGCCTTGGAGGGGCCCCGCGGCGCCGTGACAAACAAGCCGGGGCTCGGCAGCGCCAAACCTCAATACTTCTGTCACGGCACCCCCTGTGTCTTGGAGGGGCTCCGCGGTGCCTTGACAAAAGAGCTTGGGTTCGGCAGCGCCAAACCCAAAGGTTTTTGTCACGGACCCCCCCCGTGCCGGCGCCGTGACAAAAAACTGGGGCTCGGCAGCGCCAAACCCGAAGGTTTTTGTCACGGCGCCCGCCCGTGCCTTGGAGGGGCCCCGCGGCGCCGTGACAAACAAGCCGGGGCTCGGCAGCGCCAATCCCCGAAGATCTCTGTCACGGCCCCCCCCCGTGTCTTGGAGGGGCCCTGCGGCGCCGTGACAAAAACCTGGAGTTCGGCAGCGCCCGGAGCGACCCGCGATTCTCGGGCGGCACTCGCCGCGGCAACCCAACCGCACCCGGCGCCCCAGCCCGAATATCGCTCTCGGCACGGAGATGGCGCCCCTTGATTCCTCTGTGCCGGACCCACCCACCCCCGGGACCTCAGCTCAAGGGAGCGTTTCTTGATTCCTGGGCGCCTTTCGCCGTAAGGGCCCACCTCCTTGAAATGCAAACTGCCAGGCAAACGATTCGCAATTCTTGGCCCTCTGGCTAAATAACCACAAGTCGCCCTAAGATGCACCACCGCCACTCCTGGCATGCCCGCAGGATGTCTGACCGTGGCTCTCCCAAACTCGAGGCGCAACTGCTAATCTCGCCAGAGAATTGCGGTCTGCGCACCGCACGAACGCCACCTGGTCAGACATTTGGATGCGCGAGACTGGCTGGCGGCCAAAAGTTGCAACGCATGAGAGTGTCCCAAAAATACCCCTAAACTGCCCCAGTGGATCAAAAAGTGGCTCGAAAGTGTCCTCAAAAGGGGCCCAATGCTGCATTGCACGAAATGAAGGAACCCGAACAAATACATCCACTTTTTGCTGCGCGCAGCGGCCGCGCGCGCGGCCCTCGTGCCGCCTCGTGACCCCTCGGGTTGGGGCCGGTCAAAGGAGAGCTCCCTGTGGCCCACATAGAACTCACCGCAGCGTTCACCACGCAGCGAAAGGCGGGCCAGATGGCGGCGACGAGGATTTACAAAAAGGTGCAGTTCAACAAAGGGCCCCTGAAGTGCGCAAAAAGGGTGCTTTCTTGACCCCCCATTAGCGTGACCCCCCATCACCGGCGACCCGATTTTCGAGTTCCCGACAGCGGCGACAACGATCCGGGATCTCACAAGGATGTCCTCGATCACCTTTCGTGTTCATCATGGTGATGACGGTAGTGCTAAGCGATGCAGTGGAAAGCCTGGGGCCAGGAGCAAAATCATAGATGAGTGTGGGATCTATGTCGGTGTTGCTGTAAGCAGACGACACGCTGCTTATTGGGCGTTCGCAAGAACATGTGCAATACTTACTCGATACAGTATCCCTGGCTGGAGGTCGGGCCGGGATTGACTTACACTGGGACACATTCCAATTGATGCAGATTGGTTGTGAAGTCAGCTTGACAACCCCAGAGGGCAAGTTGACCTCGGCGAAAGACACTTTGGACTACTTTGGCGCAATACTGTACAAAACAAGCAGCGTCAGCAGCGAATTCAACAGAAGATTGGGAGCTGCATGGAAGGATTTTTGCAAATATTCCGTAGCATGGAAGCGCACGTCCATTCATGCAGAACGGAAAATTGAAGTATTCCAGTCCTTCATCACATCTAAAATCATGTACTCCCTTAGCACGGCCTGGCTGAATAATGCGGAGCGCAGGCGATTGAATGGTTTCCAAACAAGGTGTCTCCGAAGAGTATTGAATATCCCAGCGGCGTTCGTGTCTCGCATCTCGAACAAGATCGGTCTCAGCAGGTCTGGTTAATTACCCTACGCGCAGCAATTAATGAGGCATCAACTTCTTTGGTTTGGGAAAGTTGGACGAGCCTTTTGCGACGACTTCATCAGAAAGCCCACGTTCCAAAATGACAGCGTCCTCTCCGCCACGTCCTTGCTCAAGCGGAGGAGGGGGAGACCGAATAACGAATGGGCCAAGTGTTTGCACGAGATCGTATCTGCATCCTTCACCACAGAAGCAAATCTCATGGAACAAATACGCGACCCTCAAGAATGGGAAATGTTCGTTCTGAAGCTTATAATTCGCAGCCGGGAAGAGGCTCTAGACGAAGAGTAGAGGTGAACTGCTGATTTGGCTCGGCCCGAGCGCCCTGGCTGGAGGGCACAGCACTGCGAATGCAATGCATGTGTTCGTTGTTCTTTTTCTCTCTCTCTCTCTCTCCTCCTCCTCCTCCTCCTCCTCCTCCTCCTCCTCCTCCTCCTCCTCCTCCTCCTCCTCCTCCTCCTCCGATTGCCCTGTTTAGCAGGCGCACTGGCTGTAAGCGCTTGAATTCAAACTTTTCCCGCCTGCGCGCCGGACGGCGTATGGCTTCGTGCTCGTGCTCGGCCCCCCAGGCTTCGGCCACCTCCCGGGGGCCCGCTCCGCCTCCCGAGCCGCTCTCATGTCGACGGCCCCCGGGGGTCGAGGCACGGCCTCCAGAGGCCGAGAACACCGACACGGCCTGGCCGCCCTCCTCCTCCTCCTCCTCCTCCTCCTCCTCCTCCTCCTCTTCCTCCTCCCTCCTCCTCTCCTCCTCCCCCCCTCCCCCTCCCCTCCCCCCCTCCCCCCCCCCCCTCCCCCTCCCCCTCCCCTCTCCTCCTCCTCCTCCTCCTCCTCCTCCTCCTCCTCCTCCTCCTCCTCCTCCTCCTCCTCCTCCTCATGCCTGCTCCTCTGAGGGGGAACGATGGGGGGTGGGAGCGTCGACCTGGAATCGGCGATACATCGCAGACAGATGACAGATCGGCGATGGGCCCCAGGTAGCCGCAAGTCCCTGCGTGGGGTGGGCCACAGGGCCCCCCGTCGGCGATCAGTGGGCGATCGGGCATCGCTGCGTCCCCCCACCCCTCTTGAGCCTATCAGCGTATTCCCCCAGACGTTGCCCCTGATCCGAATGGTTGTCGAGCCACAACTCGGGTCTCCGGCGGCCGTTCGCGACGACTCTGGCACCCCAGGACGCCTCTCGGCGAGGCGCAGCTGCTGGAGAGCACCACGAGGCTGGAGAGCCGACGAGAACGGACGAAAACGTCCGCAAACCCCACACCTCAATACCCCCTCACGTTGCCTCTGACTGCTCCTCGCCATCGCCGTCGCCCGCCGCCGCCCGCCGCCGTCGCTCGGTGCCGCTGTCGCCGCCTTGGCGGCTGGCACCCAGGCTGGCGCAGGCTTCTTGGGAGAGGCCGCTGCGGCGGCAGCCCCGCCCTGCTCGCGCGCGCGAGGTTGCCGCCGCCACCGCGGCCACCGCGGACGTCGTCGCGGAGGTCGTCCTCCGCCGTCGTCCGCTGTCGTCGTTGTCCGCCGCCATCGTCGTCGTCGTCCGTCATCGTCGTCCGCCGTCGTCCTCAACCGCCGTCCTCGTCGTCGTGGTCGTCCGCCGTCGTCGTCCGCCGTCCGTCGCCCACCTTCCGTCGTCCGTCGTCGGTCGTCGTCGTCGTCGTCGCCGCCCGAAGACGAAGGCGAAAAATAATAGGAGGACGGCGACGACGACAAGAAAAACGAGGATGATAATGAGGAAATGGAAAACGACGCCGGCGCCGAGGCTGCAAACGGAGACGACGAGTGAGGGGAGGGGCAGGGCACGAAGAGAACAAAGAGGGGCTGTTGCAAGGCCATCGGGGGCCCGAACTCCGGCTGCCCCCCGCGGGGGCGGGCGGCCGCGCGGGCCGGCCTCAGGCGTGCGCTTCCCAGCAGGCGCCGCGATGCCTTGATGCACCATATTTCTTTTCTTCTCGCCTGCATCAAGACAATGATCGAGACCAGGAGCAACCGACGACTCGTGAGGAGATCGTCGAGACTGTCTGAGAAGGCGGTTCGCCGTGTCGGATACGCGGTCAGAACAGGAAGGCGAGTAAGTATGCGAGACTGGAAACATATTGCCATCCAACTCCAATGCGAGCAGCAGGCAGTTGTTCAGAAAGATTCGTGCGACCCTCAGCTGCGGGCCGAGGCACCCGCATACACGCCAGGTGCATCCTTTGCTCGAATTTCGGACATCGATAATGTGGCCCACACAAGTAGCGAGCCTCACGAATTCAGGCAAGACTTTTCCTGGCCGTGGCAACTTCCAGATATCATCCAGGTGCCGACCCCCCGAGACACTAGCGACAGTGCAGACGTGATCTGCTACAGCTCAGAGCAGCAGGAGGCCGATCTTTGGCAGCAGTCGCATCAAGAATGGCAGCAGTCGCATCAAGAATGGCAGCAGCCGCATCAAGAATGGCAGCAGCCGCATCAAGAACAGCAGTCCTTTACTTTCTGGGCCCTTCGCTGGCTGCCAGACGTGGGTGAAGTTACAACCCAGAACAAGAGCGCGCGAGAAGCGAAGGCAAAACCAGAGTGTCCGCGAAGCGAGAAGCCCAATCCCTCCGTTGCTCTGAGCTGTGCGCCACCCTGCGAGAAGCAAGAGGGCGAGCTGAAGCCCAACACTGTGCGAGCAGGGACGGCGCCGACAGCGGGCGGCGTTGCAACTGCACAAACTGACACGTGTGAGAAGGCAGGCAGTGGCGGCCCTTGCGAGAAGGCAGGCAGTGGCAGCCCAGGCTACAGGACAGGTACTGGCACTTCTGGCAACAGCTGCGAGGACGGCGGCGAAGTCACAAGCCAGAACCAAAGCGCGCACGACGCGGAAGAACCAGAGCGTGCGCAAAGCGAGAAACAAACAAGTCTTCACCTCACCGCCTACGGCCCGCTCCCAGAGGCGCTACCCTGCAAAGAGAAGTCGGAGGCGAAGCAAGAGTCCGACACGACCAGCTACAGTGAGGCGGCCAGGGCACGCGAGCCTATGAACGCGAAGATAGAGCCCGTCATCCTCGTTGGCTCTAACCATAGTGCGCGTGATAAGTCGGAGGCGAAGCTTGAGTCCGACACGATCAGCTACAGCGCTGCAGTCAGGGACCGTGGACAGAAAGAGGCTAAGACAGGCCCTGTGCGCTCCAGCTCCATCCCCGTGGTCAGCGTCTGCGAGAAGCGGGAGGCGAAGGAAGAGCCCGACGAGAACAGCTACAGCGTCGCGATCGGGGCGGCCGCGGGCAGCGGTGCGAGGAGCCGGCAGCGGGCAATGGTGCGAGAAGAGACGGCAGTGGTGCGAGAAGAGACGGGCGGCAGTGGTGCGAGAAGAGACGGCAGTGGTGCGATCAGGGCGGCCGCGGGCAGTGGTGCTAGAAGAGACGGCAGCTCCCCTCGACGGCCCACGTCTCTCGACGACTCCCCGCGACGACACCCCTCGACCCCACGACGGCACCCCTCGGCAGTGGTGCGAGCGGCGGGCAGTGGTGCGAGCGGCGGGCATTGGTGCGAGCGGCGGGCAGTGGAGCTAAGCGGCGAGAGGCACTGGTGCGAGCGGCGGGCAATGGCGCCCGACTCAGACGGCCCAGCCGACGACGACTCCGTCCTGGAGGACTCCGACAGCGACGCTGACGGCGACACCACGCCCCAGGACACCCTGTCCGACGGCGGCGCGTGCAGTGGCAGCGGGCAGTGGCAGCCTGCAGTGCGAGAAGGGGCAGCGGCCAACGACGACTCCCCCGCCAGCACCAACATATGGGAGAGCGGACAGATCCCATCGAACATCCGCAAGCCGTGGGACATCTTCGAGGAGGATCTCGAGGACACGCTCAACGACGTCATCGACAGAACCGAGGAGGAGGCCTTGCGAGCACGCCTCGCTACCGTCCAAGCCGAGGGAGCCCGCTCGGCCTTCTCGTTGCTCCCGCACGATGAGCAGCGCGCCTACGAGGAGGTCTCGTTCGCCGAGCTCGCGGCCTACTCGGCCTTCATGCGCTACGCCCGCGGCCGTGGCGCCAGCGAGTGGATAG